GATGCTAACATCGTGAATCAGGTAAACAAGCTAAAGAGAGACCTCCTGCGACTCGTGGATGTGGGAGAGTTTTCTGAGCAAGCCCAGTTTCGTGATCCCTGTAACTCCTATATACTGCCAGAAGTCATCTGTCACCATTGCAACTTCTGTCGGGACCTGGATCTCTGCAAAGACCCATCTGTGGCACAGGTACCACCAACCTGACATTCTCAGACTCATAAAAACACCTGCAGCTGAGAGACTGAGCTCTAGCTCCACTTTCTTGTGTTTTTAGGATGGGTCTGTTTTGCCTCAGTGGTTCTGCTCAAACTGCCAGATGCAATATGAAACTGACTCTATTGAGATGGCGCTGGTGGAAGCTCTGCAGAAGAAACTTATGAGCTACACTCTGCAAGACCTGGTGAGTAAAACAAGTTAAATCAAGCAGCACCAACTCATCAGGTGAAAAAAAAAAAGTATCAATATTTTTGTCTGTTTTCCATCTATTAGTGTTTGCATCCATCCATTCACCCCAGTTCAAGCATCTTCACTTTCATTCATTAGCTCAGCTTACCATTCTTCTGTTTGTCAATTTATTGTTCCTTCCTCTTCCTTACATGTAGTTTTAGCACAAAGTTTGAAAACAAACTGAAACTTATCAATTTTTCATCAACCCTGTTTATCTTTCTCCTAACTAATCCATAAATTGGCTTATCCTGAGTTTTTGGACACTTTCCTGATTATAGAGACTGTACAACAAATTGGTAAAATCAAAGTAAAACAACAAAAGACTCACTCTGAAAAACCTATTTACAGCTCAGGATAAAGAAAAACACCAGTTGGAAGAGAAATTTATCAATTTTCATTCTGTGTTCATGTGTCTGTAAGCCTAAAATCCTCTGGTTGTGGTACAAGTTTAACCTTTCAGAATCCTCTTTCATAAATTTGTGGTTAGCTTTCTGTTTATCCTTTAAAAGTGGCAAATAAAGATTTGAAAACTTCAAAGGTTTCAGTCTGAAAGAATTTTGAAATGTAATTGGACCCTGTTTAACCTTAACTGCTTAAACTGTTTTTCGTTTCATCATGTTTGAGTCATTTCTCATATCCGTCTTTCTCCCATCATTGGTGGGATTTTTAGGTGTGCACCAAATGCAAAGGGGTGAAAGAAGCCAACATGCCCCTTTACTGCACGTGTGCTGGAGACTTCAACCTGACTTTTTCAGCCAAGGTTTCTGCTTCAAACAAACATTTTTTAAATCAGTCATAAAGTGTATAATTATGACGGCTGACATTTTTCTTTTTCCATTCAAAGAGCTTCTCCGAGCAGATCGCGGTCTTTCGAAACATAGCTTCCCACTACAACATGAGATTCCTGGAGGAGACCATTGAATGGCTGCTTGTGATGAGCCCTCAGTTCAGCCAGAACAGGAACTGATGAGCAACGCAGTGAAAATTCCTCCCACTGTGGATCTGGAAAACACTGAGTGCTGAAACCCCGCACAGCTAAGCAGCTATCATCTCAGGTTTTGTTATTATTGATGGACAGTGATCGGCTTGCAAGGTGGAGAAACTGTGGGACTGTAAATATGGTTAAATGTATGTCTGTTTTCCATTTAGATTTTTATATTTGTATGAATGTCAAATGTTGAATAATAAAGCAGAAGTCCTTAAACTTTGTAATTTCTTTTATGCCTTTAACTTTAAATCTGAGATTAAAAAGCCATCATCTTTCCAAACCTCGTCTGCTTTGTGGTTAATGGGGTCTGAGCTGAATCTTGCAAGGAAAAAAATGAATATTTTGTCAGCTTTCAGCCCTCTGTTTAAGTTTTATTTTTTAGTTTCTTTGTATTCTGTGTCTTTATACCGGTAGTTGTTTTCTAGCAGTGTTTAGTTCTTGAGTTACTCTGTTGCCCCCTTGTGTTACTTCTAATCACAACTGCTCCATATTCAGCTAATTAGCCCATCCTGTTTCCCATTTATATACCACCTCTGCTGGTTTCTTGTTGTTTTGTTGTTACTTTGCTCCCTGTGTTTATTTCTCCCAGGAATCTTCTGAGTTCTTGGTTTTCAGTATTTCTGGGTCTCTGCCTCAGTTGCCTTCATGAAATCTCTAAAGCTCACCTCTGCCTCCTCAAATCTGCATTTGGGTCCTCAAAAACCTCCACTCAGCCGTGACACATTTTATCTATCTACAATAAATATTACAATTCCAAGATGTCTTAAAGTTATTGCAGTTAGAACAGCAGTGTTTAGATTTGGCACAGCAAAATCCAGATCTTATTTTTTTGTGTCTCAGAATGTAATTCTGTTAAACAAAATATGTAGTTTAACACTGACAAGTTAGAATATTTGAAACATTACATACTTTTCTGGGTGACATAAAAGTTGTTTGTTGAGCAGGTTTGTTTTCTGGGGCTCAGTCTTCATCCCCCTTCATTTCCATTAAAACTATACAAGTAAAACGTTAATGGAAGCACTTTACCCTAGGAAGTGTCTGAAAAGAAGGTGGTACCTTTACCCTGAGCTATTGGAGATTTGAGTGGCTGCATTTATATATACATAACATTAATACATTTCTTTTAGCATTATAACTAGTGTCATGCCGATTCCATTTTTTGGCCATAATACCTGGCTGTGCAGTATTGGCCGATACCATCTGTTTGAAATTAATGTGTATGTATATAGGAAGAACTGCATACTACTTGGATGTAAAATAATTGCCATCATGGCTTTGTCAATGTGCTGCCTACCTTTGTGAAGCAGGAAAAAGACTTAAACAAAGTGAATCAGTAGAACTTTTTATTGCCTACCTGGAATGGGTGGCAATAGTTGAATAAACTTTTGGCTCACAAAATGGTATCCGTGCCCTATTTGTTGGTACTCGCTGATACTGATACCACCATTTTAGAGCAGTATTGGGGCCCTGCCCAATACTGGTATCAGTATCTTGATAACACTAGTGATAACTAGGTTATAACACTAATTATAACCTAGTTATCACAGTTTAAACTTATCCACAATGTATATTTTCTCTGTACTGTAATAGTTTTAAACTATTTCATTCAAGGTTATTCTCTTTAAACTGGTTATCTAAATGTTTTAAGGTATTTATCTTCAGAGCCCAGATGGAAACTTATTGGATTATAATTTATGGTTTGATGAAGCAGAAAATGAAGATTTGGCCCCCAAAAAGGTACTTTGCTAGCTTTGGGTTTCTGAATGACTTCCAGCAAAGAAAAAAAAAAGAAAAGATCAGGGATCTTATAGAGAGTTTAGCTGTTTAAAGATGTACATTTATTGGCATTTCTTTTTTCAGTTGCCACATATGTGGAGAAAGTTGTGTAAAAAGAAAATGATAATACACAAACCTTACTGTTTTATGTGTGGTATGCTTCTGATTTAATCAATCTGGAATATTAAATACCCATTCTCCATATAGCTTTACCCCAAGGATTCAGGGTGATACCAAAAATAAAAAACTTCCTTTCTTTTAAAGTTTAAAGTGGAGGATGTTCTTTTTCCGGGTGGATCATCAAAATAATTGGTCCTCCTAATTGTCAATCATTCTGGTGACATGTTTACATAAGGCTGTCCTATGTGCTCGTCCCCATTTTCACTTACCAGTGGTGAGTCTGACATAGAGGAAAAAATGGCAAATCTTCTTTTAGAAAGTAAGCCTGTATGAGCGATGCAGACAGCAACTTTTATACAGAGCATGCACAAGGAGGAATGGGCTCGTGCACACTCTCACAGCCATTTAATAGGCGAATGCTCTTGGGAGCAGGTACAGGGTTGTGCATTCGCACTTTTCTTTTTTAAGTGGAGAGGGCAGGTTTAAAAAAAAAAAAAATCAAAATCCTCTACTATACCTTCAAACATTTCCATTTTTTAGGAAGTCTACTTCACTGTTGCTGCATTCATTTTTGGTCAATGACAAAATGCAAGCGGATAATTACCGCCGCCACATTCTCACCCAGGAGGAGTGTGACCAACTCAATGACTGGATGCAATCAGCTGGTTGTCATCAGGTAGAAAAGTTTGCAATCTGACTGTAATGTGCCTTCAGATAACATGTGTTGTAAATTGGCATTATATATAAATACACTGACTTTAATAGAATTGAACTGGATTATGCTTTACCTTGAATCAGGCATTAAAATCAGAGGAGCACAATAAGAGATCTAGCTGTTAAACAACATGTATCTACATAAAAAGATCATATTAAATTGGAACAATTTGGGGGGAATTAACAAATTCTGTCAGTAAATAAGATTAGAAAATCTAAATCTCAATCATTCACTAAAGAGACATGTTGCGATCAGTGTGGATCATGGTGGTTTTAAACCACACACTTAGATTTAACAGCTGAGTCACTTTGCCTGCTGATGGCTGCCTCCCATTCCTATAATCACATTCAAGTCAATGAGCAGAGCCAAAATTAGATTGGTTCCTCAGAGGTTCATCCTGACACCTTCATTGGCACGAGGGAGCTCAAATAAACTGTAATGATGGATTTTCAGTTTTAGCTCCAACATATGTGAATTTCATTCAGTTCGGCTTAAAATGAACTTTGTAAGTGTTGTTATTCACATTATAAAGTCTCTAAACCAACATGCGACTACGATTGTTACCTCCCACACAGCATATATTGATTGAGAGGCCCTTGGTTCTCGAGTCATGTTTCACCACTGACATTTGTTCTTCTTCTCAAGAAGTTAAGAGGGATTCAGTTTCCACAACCTAGTTAGAGAAATCGTTTTGTGGGAAATGTAGACATAATTAGATTACCGGTCTCGGCTGTCTTGTGCGGCTCCTCACAGCTTCCTTTTGTATCCTCCAGTTATCCTGCATATTCTTCAACTCTGTTAAAACTGTTTGTTATTCAGGTTAAAAGGCTGAAACCACCTAAATAAGCATGTTTTGATTATTTCAACATAAGGGATTTTCATCTACAAAGAAATCAGATGGTAAATAACAGAAGTGCTTGCCATGTATGCTTAAATCTTTGAAAAGGATTGTGCTTTATTAATTAATGAAACTGATGTTTGAGATACATGAGAAGAGTTTTAATGGTTTATGAATTGTTTCTACCCCATTCTTCTACTCTGAATATGTTCTTTTTATCTGAGGAAACTATATGCAAGTATACTTGTTTTCTAAAGGTTAGCGAAAGCAGGTTTCATTCTGGTGGTGAACAGACCAAAGTCCAACAAGGATTAAGATGATCTGTGAAGAAAACCTGTTGAAGCAGTTTAATTGAGAACCACAGTGGTGATATATCAGTCAGACTATCAGGAGGTGGTCCTCCTCTCTTAGTTCGTCCCACTCAAATGCAGGACCATACAAAAGTTTTGATACACCTCTAAACATTTTAACAGTTTGTCACATTACAACCAGAAAGTCTAATGTAATTATCAGGGATTTAGATGGTGTTTAAAAAGGATTTAAACTGTGAAGTGAAAGGAAAATGATGCATTAAACAAACAAAAAAGCAATGTTAAACTTTCATACAAATTAAAATAAACAGAAGTGAAATAATTACGCTTTAATAGATTTTAAAGAAATTTTTAGCTATTTCATTGCAACTTTCTTGTGAACTAAAGGGGGCTCCAACAAGTAAAGCTTGGGATCCACTGGTTAAGTATGTGTAATTCTGGCCCCCATAACTTATAGTACCCCTAAATGAAATCCAAACATCCGATTCCCTAAAGAATTTACAGAATAAGCAGATATAATCCAGTTGTGTGTAATAGAATTCCATTGTAGATTGTAAAGAAGGACTGTTCAATCTAACAAAGTATTCAGGACACCGCAGGTTACCACAAGCCATGTACAGTAGTAGATACAGCAAAAATAAATGCAAAAACATGCTCTGGTCAGAGGAGTTCAAAAGGTTCTGGATAAGATGCAAAATATGCCGTTTGGTGGGAAACTAACACAACACCTCACCCTGACCACACAATCCTCACTGCAGAAGTGTTACTATTAACAACCTTTTTTTTCTTCCTGGAATGGCTCCGCATAAATCCAGAACTAAAGTCAATTCAGAATCTGTGACAAGGCTTAAAATCTGATGTCTTAAAGGAAATGTAATATTCATATACTTCAAGTAAGTCTGAGCTGTTCTATTTATGAAATAAGCAAGTTTGTGGTTGTAATGTGACAAATGTGAAAAGTTTTCGAAGTGTGTAAATACTTTTGCTGAAGTGCTTTATGGCTCCATCACTGAGCTGCTGCAGACACTTAAGAAATTAAACCGGGATGCTGCTATTGCCATCATCAGGGTGAAGGAAGGCAGTCTAAGCCACTGGGACACCTCAGAGCGGGACGCCGTCTGATAGGTCTGAGTGGTTGGAGCCATAGCTGCTGATGAAGCTGAACTCGGTGAAGATGGTGTCCGTGGGTTCCTTGACCACCTGTGAAAAACACCAGTAAAGGTAAAATCAGGTTCTACTGACACCTTTTATTTATACAGGAAAGAAATTTGTTCGAATTTTAAAGTTTGAATGAACCGTGTTACAGGTTTGTCATTAAGGTTTTTGCAGATTTTTAACTTGGTATATTGAAGGTAAATAAAGAAACATTTCTTACAAAATAAATGTATTCACACTAAGTATTAAGAATAAACTTTTTAAAATGTTACAAATTATTTGCAGCTTATTTTGTAAAAACTTGAAACAGTTCAGTAGATATAAATATTGCTCACCTCTTTGCTTATTTCATCAAACTTCCTCTCACTGTAGACCTCATCCTTGTCAATAAATGTAAGCATGATCCAGTCACAGATAATACTGCACTGCAGGGAAACAACAAAATGAAAACATATATTCTTTCATCTTTTCTCCCTTTTTTTTCTTCTGTTTTCCCTTTCCTGTTCTATCTACATTATAGTGTCCATATAATCGTTAAAACTCCCTGCATAATTATAATAAAGCTATTTATATGCATAAATCAAGTGGAACAGTATGGCAATAGCCGTACTGCTCCACTTGTGAAAGTAAAATCTGTTGGGCTCATTTTGGCATCAAGACAATTATTCTTAATGCCACATCGCCAGACAGGACACTGTTAAAAAAAGAAATAAATAAAATAAAAAAATGAAAACATGTAAATAGCTTGTAGAGGCAGAATTCTAACCAGAATGCCTCATTAGAACAATCCACAGAATATTTTTATTTTTGTAATGCATTTATGATTTTTTTTTTGGTAGATTGATAAAAAAAATATTTTTGATTTAACAAGATTGTAAAGACATTTTTGTTGAATTTCAAACTTCAACATTTTCAGAGCCTTAAACACCTGGTGTCATTCCTTACCCCGTTTTTATTTCCACTTTTTCAACCCGAGTCATGTCATATTATTGATGCATTGGCAATGACCTATGGTAAAACCCTGGACCTTCTAGGTAGAGCTTTTTAGGATTTTAAACCTGAACAAAACTCTTATGTTGCTACATTGTTTAAAAACATTGTTTTTTTTAAGCTGAGTACAGATTTTTAAACTGAACAAAATAATTGAAATAACACATATTTTTGAAATAAAAAACGACTTAAAACTTTTTTTTTTAAAATGCTTAAAACTACTTTTCAAGGCTCCTTTTCTTTCAGTTTTTTTCTGAGTTTTAAACTGCTTTCCCCTCAGAGTGGGAGCATGACATGGGTTATGAAATAATGACTGATGCATTCTTCCGTGATTTTAAGATATTTCTATTTCATCAACACCTGGATATAATTTGTTCAGGGTCCTAAGCTTCGCCTCCATGGGGAGGGAGGAGAAATATGAAACTAAAATTACAAAATATATGAAAATCTGAAGAAGAAAAAAAACTTGCATCATGAAAGTAGCCTCAAATCTTTTATTTCAGTTTTTTTATTTTTTATTTTTTCTATTTAAAATTACCCCTCAGTTTGGAATCACTTTTTCTTTCATTTGTTAACAATGTTTTTGAGCAAATTTTATGGCCCCAATTTTGCTCCATTCTCTTGGCTCTGCATTTCAATCAGACATGTTAGATTTCCCTTTAACTAAGTAAATATGTCCTGTTTACTTCAACCTCAATACATTTTAGATCACTTTCATTCATCTGTGGAGACACAGGGAATAATCATCCATCTAAATCATTTGGGGGTTTTAGCTATTTGCGTCAGTAAGTGCCTAATGTTCTGAATATAAACACTTTTCTACTTTTCTAATCATCTATTTAACTCCTGCTTAACAACTATCTCTTTTTCATTTCATCTTAAGATAAAAGTTAACTGGGTTGGCATGAATTCACTCAATAAAACAAAAAAAAAAAAACAAAAAGAAAAAAAAAGGGATGGATCTATCAGAATATAAAAATAAGTTATTGGTCTGAAATGTACCTAACAAGAATTGAGAAGACCCAAAATTATCCAGTTTTATTGAAAACCAGCAGAGGTGATGAATTTCTGTCCATTTTAACAAATATATTTAATGTAAGTATTTGCTACAAATATGTTTCAATAAATCTTTTAATTTTTTGAAAGTACTTACAATCCCAACAGAGGTGAGAGCTGTAACTGTGCTGATGATGGTTGGAACGACACTAAATTTTCCAGCCTGGGCAGAAATTACAAAAGGATCAATAAACTTGAGGTGAAACGGTACATTTTTGAAGAAGTGTCTTGTATACCTGCCCATGAACTATGATGTCAAGGCGGATGCCAAAAGCCTTAATGAGGGTCCGAGATTCCACACCGTTCTTATCATAATATTTGGCAAACCTGCACAAGAAAACATAAAGAAAACCAGCTTTTGACAAAGTTCAAACTATGCCAATGGACCTGGTTGGTTGGTGCTGAATTTTAGCAGACCTGTAATAGTAACCAGAGTCAGCCAGATCCTTTCGGAGGTCAAGACGGCGGAATGTGTAAGTAGGTTTACAGTGTGAGGGATCCAGATCTAGGTTACAATCCCAGTTGATGAAAACGCCAATCACTCCTCCCTGACAGCAAAGAGAATGAAAAAAGGCTGCATTGATGTCAATTATTTGGCTCAGTTAATGTACAACCAAAGAACTCCAAGTTCACTTTGTTTGATGTTCTCTCCTTTTGGTGATTTTGACAAAGAAACAAACACAAATAATAGAAAATCTAGCAAAAATAAAGAGAAAGGGTAAAATTCAACTAGCAACAGATCCTATTGTAAGTAAACTAACCCTCAATCGGAGTCTGAGTTATGTACCGTAATGGTCATTTTACAGATGTCAGTCTTTTCTACAATACTTCCAGTCACTTCTTTGGTTATTAAAAGATTACTTACTTAGATTTTTTTAATAATATTTAAATGTTTAATAGCAGTATGTACATAAACCTAAAAGTACTAAATAAACTTTACTCTAAAAATGTAGCTTTTTGAAACGCACGCAGGGCACATGTGCACTGTAGCTCACAGCAGGACTGATTTTGCTCCAACTCCAAACAGTACAGGATCACACAGAGCAAGAGGTAGTCCCGACAACAGTCATTTTGGCAGGGTGCAACAGTACTGCCTGTAGTTGGATGGATTTAAACTGTCCCCGAAACGAATTTGAATTTGCTTTCCTAAATGAATTCATGACCTTGTTGTCTTACAGTAGGGTAGGAAAATGTGGCATCAGATTCCAAGAATTAGCAGTGGATAACAGTTATTCTTAGTGGAAGGTTGCATTTCATTACCGGCAATCCTTTTTATTTTTTGCCAAATAAGGTATATGTTATTTGGCAAAAACATAACAGATACCTTTATTCAAATATCTAGTAGAGATTTTATTCTTCATTGAGAATGGTTAGATAGTTTAAGCTGTTAATTTTCAATTGTCTTGATTTTGTTTCATTAATGTTGTAATTGCATTCTTAAAAGTCCACTAGTCTGGACGACTGGTTTAAATGTTGAAATTGCACTGTTTCAGTGTGTAGTTTGTAAGATTTTTATCACATATTTGAGTAGTGACTATATTACCAGATCTGTGTTGGATGTGGTGTATATGAAATACAGTGTATTTGTTGTTTACAAGTCATACCAACCTTATTTTTCTTTAAACAAATTCTAATGCAGTACAACATAATGCACTTTTACTATTAATGCTATATTTACACATTCTATTTTTCATTTAAATAGAGGCATAGATAATAAGTAAATCTTATGAGTTGTTTTTTCAGTGTAGCATAGAAGGGGAGTAAGATGCATTAAAGACTTTTTTCCAAAACAATAAATTCTTAACCTTTGAACAACTTAACACTGACTCTGACATCCCAAAAATGATTTGTTGAAAGACTTCCTATTACATAATGTTATCGGACTATTCTTCAGCTTAGCATGCTCCCAAAATCATGGCTTGATAAATGTTTAGACCTAGATTTATCTGAGAAAGGCTTGGTATTAACCATTTCCTTCACTCAGCCACTTGAGGATTCCATGGTATTGGGTGAACATTTTACTGATCATACCGAGCAAAAAGCTATTTGAAAATCTAATCCTCATCTATTCACAGTTGGCATGGCCTACTACAATTAAACGTAATGTCCAGGCTACATAAGTCATTAAGCACAATAGCCAGACTTTCGCCTGAAGCTCTGTCTTTTGTGTCCCCAGCTGAATGAGTACAGGATCTGGCAGCCATTTCTTTATTAATATAGCTGGGACTGCAGCAACTAAATATCCTAAACTGTAAACCAACCTTGACTAGTTGACTATAACTATGTTAGTATAATAACTAATTTTCAGGAATTTTACAATATCTCAGCAAAAATATACTACTTGGATGCCTTTTGATATTAGTATTTTATTTTCAGGCACACAAGTATACATTAAAATTATATTATATGTCCTTGTAACATAAATTATAAGAAAACATTTTGAAGAAGGGTGTTTTGGCAGAAGCAATAAGCTTCTAATCCCTCTCAAATGTCTTTATTTTTGTTTCAGTCTTTCATTCCAGAAACCACTACCAAAAGTAAATTATATATGCTTTTTAATGCTTGATGTGATGTGAATCTCTTGGATTTCATCTGCTTTTTCTTTGTGGATATTTATCTGTTTATTTTTTGTTGATTCCTTTAGTTTGGTTGATTCATCTATTGTTGCTTATTGTTGTTTGTCAAAAATGTCTGAAAATAAATTCCTTTGTAGGCCTGCTTTAGTTTGCATTTTCTGTTTTGAAAAACATTTTAAAACCCAATAAAAAATATTTGATATTAAAAATGTTGTTCTCTAATCTGCCAGTGTCTGAATAAACTGTGTTGAGTTCTTCATCCACATTGCAGGATCTAATGTGTCAAATATTTGTCTTTTCCAATATTGCAAATGAGCTTATATAACAATTTTCATGATTAAATATGCTTTAGATAAATGTAGTGATAATACGGTAATAATAATTCAAGTGAATCATAATAAGTCCAGCCCCTATCTATTGTTCCAGTGTCTCATACTCACAGTACTGCAGAGCTCAGTGAAATTCTCCCTCGCTTCATTTGCAATGTAACCCAAGCGAAAGATTGGGCAGTAAGGTGCCTTCTCCTTATGATAATGACACCTCTTGAGGTACTTTTTTGTTTTCATCCCTGGAGGACTTTGTACATTGACCCTGTGAGAAAAGATTGTTTTCACGATTTATATCAGTAACACAACCAATCATAGCATTAGGTTTAGTGTTATGTTTGAAGATACTTACCTCAACACTTTAAATTTGGGAAAGTGGATGGAGTTCCTGATGAAAACTGTGAAATTAATAGCCTCCACTAAAGGTGGTTCTCTGTTGAAAAAAAAAATAATTTATATATATATATATATATCTATATATATATAGATATATATATATATATAGATATATATATATAGATATATATATGTATGTTGCTTCATATAAGAAAGGACCGCAATCATGTCTCATTTTCATTTTCAAAATTAAGCATGAGTCTTTTAACCTGACAACAGCCAGATGCATGTCTCACTCCGCCTAGCTCCGCTCACGTGAGTGGAGCTGGGCGGAGCGAGACATGCATCTGGCTGTTGTCAGGTTATGAGTCTTTACCAATATCGAGACAAATATTCATATTACACAAACTAGAAAACATGTAAGTTAAAATTCTTAGGAAGTTAGTTGTAACCAAACTACTTTAGGTGTTTCATTTATCTAGTCTGTTTAACATTATTATTTGCTGTATCAAAGGTATCTGGGGTAAAATATGTTTATTAAATCCTTCTCCATCCTGCTGGTTAACAAATGTAAATGTTGCTTTATCACATGAGATGTGGTATTGAGCCACCGAAAAGGTCTTAGACTTGTAATCCCATTTTGTTAAAACAGCCAAAGCAGGATTTATATCACACCAACAAGAATTAGTGCATAAAACAGAAGATACGTGTTTTTTTAATTATTGTCCCCGAATAGCATAAGGGTTTAGGATGGGGATATTCTTTCAACGCCTCAGTCTTAAGCCAGGTTTTCTTGCCCTGTGTTTAGCTCTATCCTCCCTGTTAAAGAGAATCATCCCCATAGCCTGATGCTGCCACTGCCATGTTTTAGGAAGGGACAGGAAGTTCAGAGTGTTAGGATGTGTGGTGTTGGCTATGTTGCTTTCTTACCATAAATCTGCTTTAAAAAATATCCACTACCTCATCCCTGCCATCTTTGCAGAGACCATTAGTCATCATGATGACATTTGTTCACTAATGTTCTCTAACTAACAAACCTCTTATTTATTACAAGTGTAAATTACACTTAGATACTGTATGTTTAAGAGATAGCAAGTTAGGGTTGAGCAGCCACAAGCTGCACACCACGAAAAATAGCAGTACTTGAAAATATCTTAGGTCAAGTAGAGAAAGATGGATTTGAATCGAATACTTAGGGTTGGTGATGTATACATATTAGAATATCGCAAGTTACTTGCTGTAACAGTTTCTAGTTTATCCTAACCTGACCTCCAAATGGCAGAATAGGCTCAGCAGACAGATAATAATATTAGAGAACTGAAACTTGCTTACAGACAGATGCACTTATGATCGTCATTCATTGAGGTAACTTGAGGTGAGTAGCAAGAAATCATACTCAAGTATAGTTCTACATAAAAAATAAGGGTGCAATAAAATCACTACATTTTTCAAATGCCTCTCGAGGGTTGGATAACTAAAGTAAATGAAATAAATCTGAGATAACAGAGAAAATTAGTTTGCATTTGAATCAGTACTTGATACATTTATATGTATAGAAAAACCTGAAAACCATTAAGCATTTTCTTCAATTTTCCATCATGTGCTTATATTGACAGAATACAACCAAAAACACAATGAACTTTGTAATTAAACATGCCAGTCCCTTACCGCACTACAGCATACTCCTCAATAGGACACCAAGCCATGATTTCACAGGTTTTGAAAGTGTAGTTGTGGTACTGAACACATCTTCCAGTCCGTATGCCTGTGTTTAAATTACAATGCATAACTGAGCAAAAGTGATACATCTAAACTGATGATGGATAATATGAGAAACCATTCCTTTACCATGGCTGTCAAAGTTTGGTAAGCCTGGCAAACAGTCAGCATCTGTTGTGCAGTTGGCATTATCAACACTAAAGTGCTAAAGAGAAAAAAGCAAAATCAGGATCAAGTGCAGCTGCAATAATTTCCTACATGTTTTTTTAGGGTCTGTTTTATAGGAATTGACCTCTCACCTCAGGGCAGGTGCCTTGCTTCTGATCATAAGTGAATTCCCTTCTTAGTATTGTACTGATTACATCAACTCCCTATGAAGGAAGGTGAAAAAGTATTTAATGCAGTCATCTTATCAAGAAACTGATTCTCATTTTTGACAAAATCCTGAGACACACCTCAGGGGGATGAGCGTACTCCACGTTGTCCAGGACGTCGTCCCCATGCACTGCTTTGCCCCTCATAGTAGTGTAAACAGAGCTCTCTGGATGGGTTTCACTTTCCTGATATGCTTTTTGACTGATAAAAACATACCTTCAAGGAAAACAGAACAGACAGAGACAATACATATTTTTTTTATGTCCAATTTCATAAAAGGTGTCATGTTTCTCACGATCTGTTTAGTCATTTGAGCTGAAGCCAAGAAAACGGGATGACGCCCTGAAAACCGAGGCTACTAAGAATTAACCTTTGCTCTAGAAGGATATGAATATTTAAATTAAAGATTACATTTTTAAAAAAAAGATGTTTAGATGTTTTCTGGACACTGTTTTTTTTTTTTTTTTTTTTTACATAACTAAAAACGAATTTTCTTCTTACAAAAAAAACAAACATTGGGCAATAATTTGAAAGCTGTTGATATCTTAATGGATTTTACTGTCAAATTAAGACATTTAATTAAAATAAACCAGCTAATCCCTTGTGTTTTGATATGTTGCTCCTTATCAGGAAAATATACGGAAATATTGAGAACTTACCAGATGAAATAGGTGATCACTAGAAACTGTACAGCTCTGTAAATAACTCCAAGGGGTTTGTTTTTAATCACCATCATCTTAGGGGTCTCATAGTCCCAGAAACCGTTAAAATAATCCTTTATGAAGTCACGGACCGCCATGGCAGCTGTATGTAATCCTTTACTCATTTTCAGAGATGAGCTTAAAACTGTTTTTTTAAATGATTTTTTTCACTGACTCTCTACATTATTTTTCCTTATCCCTGTCTGACACTGATCTTTATCTGCTTACAGTTTACTCCAGCATGTGAGGCATCAGCGAGTCAGGAGGAGAAAGGGGGTGGGGCTGGATTTTATGATGTTAGACATCACAATCCTTTGTAGTACTTATTTATTATCTCTGTTTAAGCTCTTATTATTCTATATTAAATCTAAGATAAAAAAATTATAATCAAAACAACATTAATTAATCCTTTTTCATTTAAATTAAAAACCTTATTAAAAACCGTACAACTTTCTTATCAAACAAATAGATTATTCAAAACAGATTATTCATAACCTTTTTTAATATTAGACCTAACCAGGACTTTAAACTACATCTAAAAATGATACAGAACATGCAGCATATAGAAAGGTGTGAGTGTAAAAATAGTGATTGCCAGTAATTTGTATATAGCATTTCACCTTGCACCATTAGTCTTTCAAATTCTTTTAACCCCCAAAGCTGTTTGAAGTCCCAAGAAATGAGGAGCCTCAAACAGGAGACTCTCAACACACTTTCTCATTTAATATGTAGAGAGGTTGGGTTAACTCTCTGTTTCCTGTTGTCCAGCAACATCTATTTAGTTCTGCTGGAATTCAGTCTGAAGTTGTACAATTAACACCATTCAGTGAGAGTCTGTTCTCTATTTCATCTCCATCAGCAATGAGCCCCACCTCTGTCATGCCATTTGCAAACATCTTAGAATATCATGTATAGATAAAAGAAATATTCTTTTTTTAGGCAATGCAAGTTTATTCATAAAGCACAATTCAGTACATGTACAATTCAAAGTGCTTTATATGAATTAGAGGATAAAACATAAGAAGAATAAAGGCAGAATAATATATAATTTAAGTTTATTAATCTCACATTGGAGAAATAAAAGTTAATAAAGATTTTAAAAAAGCATGAGTAAAGCAAATAAAACAGTTGGACCATAACCTTATATTAATACCGCAGTAAACAGTTTAACTTTAACAGTCAAAGGCAGCTCTAAACAAATTGTTTTTTTAACCTTGACTTCAAATAACTCAGGCTTTCAGCAGTTTTCCAGTCTTCTGGGAGTTTGTTCCAGATAAGTGGAGCATAGGAACTAAATGCTGCTTCTCCATGTTTGGTTTTAGTTCTGGGTGTACAGAATAGACTGGAACTAGAAGACCTGAGTGACAACAAATCTGTTATATATTGAGGTGCTGATCCATTCAGCCATTTAAATACTAGCAGTGTGATTTTAAAGTCTATTCTCTGAGCTACATGGAGCCAGTGCAAGGACTTCAGAACTGGGCTGATGTGCTCTACTTTCTTGTGAGAACACGGGCAGCAAGCTGATGGAGTTTTTAGGCAAAAAGAAAAAAGGATTCTACTTAAAATGAATGCATGAATGAGTTTTTCATTCAACATTAATCCTTTAATGCTGTAAATGTTCTTCGGGTGATAAAATGCTGACTTAGTAACCGCCTTTATGTGCCTCTGAAGGTTCAGGTCTGAGTCCATCATGACACCAAGATTTTAGCCACGATCAGTGGTTTCTAGCTGTAGTAGCTGAAGCTGTGAGCTAACTCTAGACCTCTCCCCTTTTTTGCTCCAAAGATTATTACCTCAGTTTTGTCTTTATATAGTTGCAGAAAATTAGAGTACATCCAGATATTTAGTTTTTTCTAAGCATCTAGCCAACACTCTGATGGGTTCATAGTCACATGTTAACATTGTGATGTGAAGCTGTGTGTCTGCATAGATATGGTAACTGATCTTGTCTGCTATGATCTGAGCTAAGGGGAGCATGTAGAATAGGAGGGGCCCCAGAATGGAGTCTTGAGGAACCCCATATGTGATTTTTCTGGTTTCTGATTTAAAGTTCCCACATAGAAGTCCCTGTCCTTCGGGTAGGATTTAAACCAGTCCAGTGTGGAACCAGAAAGGCCAACCAAGGTTTCCAGGCGCTGTAATAAAGTAGAATGATCAACAGTAACAAACGCTGCACTGAGAACTAATAATACCAACACTGGTTCTTCCATAGTCTGAATTTAAACGGATCACCTTAATCAGGGCAGTCTCTGTTCTGTGGTTGGCATGGAAGACATCCAAGAAGCTTGTCGTTGTTAACAACTTTCAAAATAGTCTTAATTATGAATAGGAGGTTTGAAATGGGTCTGTATTTCTGCAGGACCAGTTTGTCCAAGCTTTTCTTTTTCAACAATGGTCTAATAATGGCTATTTTTAAAGCTCGGGGGGAAGCACCCAACTTGAGGGATGTGTTTATGATTTTAATCAAATCAGACTCTAACATAGGCAAACCCTTCTAATAAAACCTGTGGGTTAAACATAAGACAGCGGGAAGAGGAGCTTAGCTGCTAAACAATGTCTTCTAAACTTTTTCAGCTTATTGGACAAAATTGGGACATTTTAACAGTTTATTCGAATGGAGACAGCATTGTTAATGGAGTTGCCACTGATGTACATACTGCTCTTCCTATATTTAATATGATCTCAGAGAAGAGAGATTCTCTTGCATCTTTTATAAATTTTTTGTAAATTATCTCTTTGAAGTTTCTCCTCATAGACTTCATTGGACTCCATTCTTTTGCCACCTTCGATTGGCTTTTCTGCGCTCCCTCCTCCCTTTCATTACTGCTGGAGCATTCCTCCATGGAGATTTCATCTTCCCAGAGTTTTTCTGATTCAGTCTCAGGTTATGGATGTTTTTCTCAGGTCTGTAAGCTTTTAGTGTGTGTTCTAGTGTATGCAACAGAATGGTGTTTGACACTTTAGCCAAAGTCCATAAAAGCATCTTAATGTAGATCACATTTTTTTATTTAAAAAATGTATGGTTGCTACTTTTGTTTTGTTGTTTTTGGAGTTCAACTTTAAAAATTCAAAATCAGTCTGTATAAGTAAGAATATTTTTGTATAAAATCTGCATTGTAATAATATAATTATTTTTTTCTCTTCTTTTTTTTGCACGGGTAGTTCTAAACCGATTTTTTAAGTGCCCGTATTATTTTTCATTAGATAGCACAAAATGATTTACGCTCTATCGTAATATTGTGTACAGGCGGTCTACGGTCAACCCCTGGGTCCTTGTCTCTGTAACGCTCTTGCGCATGTCAGACAACACGTGCATAGGCAGTAGCGTTGTCTTCATCTGTTAGCTTGTTATTATTTCGTGACATACATTTTCTTACGGTGCTTTTGAGTTACAGTCCATCCAAAAATGGGTGGTCTTCAGAAGAAAAAGGTATGATATCCTTTTTTTACTCAAAAATAAACGGCAGCCATCAAGCTACTAGGGCTAGTTTGTTTGCATGGCCACAGTCTTAGACTCAAGTTACAAAGTTTGTGTTAGGCCTCACAACGAAAGAAATTCACTTTATTTTACTGTTTTACAGTTTGAGAGGGGCTCTGCCACGAACTACATCACCAGGAACAGAGCACGAAAGAAGCTGATGCTAAGCCTCCCTGACTTCAGGTAGATGATCATTTTATTCAAAAAAGTCTGCCATGTGGGTTTTACAGTGACCTAATCCTTTTATTTTTTTATTGAAGGGAACGTATATGAACATCGAAGTATAAATGTAATCTTTTTTAGAGCTTTGGCTTTTAGGAGCTTCTTAGTTTAGTTCAATTTATAAATGGAAATGTTCCTTTTCACTGCTAAGCTGCTGCTCAGTCAGTGTCTAAAAGTTGTATAAACGAAATTTCGTTTTGTATACACTCTGTGTGAACAATATGATAATAAAGTTGTCATAAGTCTAGTTATTTTTTTATTCATTCCCAATGAAACGGAGTGCAATGCTGAAAAAAGACCACTTTAGATGAAAAATAAATTTAAATGAAAAAAATGATCTGAGCTAAGGGGAGCATGTAGAATAGGAGGGGCCCCAGAATGGAGTCAGTCTGGTTCACACAGTAAACTTACATCAAATAAATGCAAACATATGACTTAAAGTCGAACAACGATTTAGTGATAATTTCTTTGTGGTTTATAAACCTGTTAAAGGGCTACGGTTTTAGGTCCATTTATATTTCTATTAAATGTTACAATGGTGTTATCAGAATCAGAAATACTTTAATAATCCCAGAGGGAAATTACTTTTGTTATAAGACCATTTAATTTTTCGGTTTTTCTGTTTTAGATCCTAGGTCTGCATGTCCTGTTAACAAGACTCTGTGGATTATCTTCCCCTTTAGGCGGCTGTGCATCCTCAAAGGAATCTATCCACATGAACCAAAACACAAGAAGAAGGTCAACAAAGGCTCCACTGCCCCAAGGACCTTCTACCTTCTCAAAGACATCCGCTTTCTACTACATGAGCCCATTGTATCCAAGTTCAGAGAGTATAAGGTATTTTAGATAAACCCATAATAATATTGTCATAATATACTTTGATTTCTTGACATTAACTTCATATCAATAACTGTTGTATTGAATAACAGGAAAATAAATTTTGGAACAAGAAAATGATTCACCTTTGATGTGAATAACCCCTCTACACAAAACAGCTAACTCTCTGGTTTTGTTTAATTTTCAACAGATCTTTGTACGCAAACTAAAGAGGGCTTATGGAAAAACAGAGTGGTCTGCTGTTGAAAGACTGAAGGAGAACAAGCCGACATATAAATTGGACCACATCGTGAAGGAAAGGTGGGAAAGTTAATTTTCTTTACTCACCACAGGGGTTGAAACTGCATAGATGTGCTTTGTTTTTACATTGGATTCAATTAGTCTTAAGAAAAGTACAATTTAAAATGGTAGAGAAATGGGTAAAACAAATTATAGCTCTTTCAGTATAAGTGATAAAAACATTTGGTAGCTTATAAAAAACACTAAAGGCAGTGTTACGCTGATAGGATTTTGGATAAGTGTTGTTATAAAAAATATTTTGGATCATAAATGTGGTACAGGTTTTAATAAAGAAATGCTGGAAAGGACTAGGTTACCTTTTTAAAGTAAATAAACAAAAGATCTTAATTCGGTTAAAGGATTTTAAAAAATTGTTTGTAAAGACCCCCCTCTCCACTTTAAAAAAAATAAATTCACATGCACAACCCTTTATCCGTTCCTGAGTGGGAATGCCTAATAAATCTGTGCGAGAGCATGAACCAGCCCATTTCTCCTACTGCAGGATCTGTTTAAAAGTTGCTGTTTGCATCGCTCATACAAGCTTACTTTCCAATAGAAGATTTTTCATTTTTACACCTCATCAGACTCGCCACCGCTGTTATGCCGAAGAATACCTGCCTGTCGAGAATGACCTCCCCTCTCGCACACTTATGAGAAAACATATTGAAAAATGAATAAAAAGGGAACTTTCAAACATAATGTTTTCATATTTCTTATGCATGGATCTCCTAAAATTCAGAGTTTTGGTGGACAGATAAATGCCAAGAATGACCAGAATTGCCTCCCGTCACAGGAGCGCTCATCACCCCAAACCAGGGGTAACCAATTAAAAATCAGCGGGGTCCGAATAAAGATAATCATCAACCAGTGAAGGTCCGGAGACATTTTTAAGTATAATCTGTTACTTTAAAACAGCATTTAACAGTGAAATAAGTTTAGGTTTTTATGCATCCATGTTAGACATTGAATTTTTAAATAAAATATGGAAAAAATAGAACATGTTCCCATTTTAAAATCTGAAGTATTTTTTGAAGTAGAGAAAAACAAGCATTTGGTGTGGTATATGGAAAATTTCCTGATTCACATATTTTACAAAACACCTGAACAGACGGTTTGTTATTTTCTTTTTTATGGCTTAATGTGAGAAATGGGCTTTACTCTGCCCTGTAAGGCTTTTAAAATTGTTTTTGAATGGCGACAAAGCACATATCAAGGTGCTCATTTTAAGACTGGATCGATAATTATTTTTGATTATGGTCATCGTGGGAAATTCTGCTTCACAGCAGCTTAAGCCAAACGTACTCAAAATGTGCAGGATCCTCTTTCAGGACACCATTTCACTTTTCTTTCACCAGTTCACCACGATTCTATCAGCAGTCCACACATTCTCTGCTTTCTTCTTTTCATAGTCTTCTCCATCTTTCCCATGGCCTGACTTGCCACAGGTTTGCCTGCTGTGTCTAAAAGTGGTTCAGAGCAGTGACCCAGACTGATGCAGCCCATTGCCTAATTTGTATCACATGTAGCCTGCTCCCAGACACTCCAGAGGGCTTTACCATGTTAACAGGAGAAGGGGTGCAAGGGAAATTATACAGTGTCGTCGGACAACATGCAGTAATTCATAAATGTTTTAAATCAGGTTGGGTCCATATTAGCCAACGGGTGGGTTCGGATCCAGACCCTGGTCCGCTAATCTGTGACCTCTGTCCTAAACTCTCGCTTATTGATGAGAAATTGTCAGACATCATACAGAATGGTGTTTATAGCGAAAGCGTAAATGCCATCCACTGAACAAAGTATATATTCATCGGACACTGACTGTAGCACGTCGGCTAAAACTTCTCTCCATACAAGTAAAAATCGTATTCATTTAATTTAACTGTCCACCAAAACTCTAAATCTTAAAGAATCCATGTATAAAAGATATGAAATCATTAAGAATATGTTTAAAAGTTCCCTTTGTTCATATTTCAATCCGTTTTCTCATCAGAATGCGATAAGGAAGGTATTTCTCGGCATATGGTTAGGTGAAAATGTAGACGGCCTAATGTAAACGTATCACCAGAATGTTTGACACTTGGGAGGATCACTTATTTTGATGATCCACCCGGGAAAAAAAAGGACATCCGCCACTATAACTTTAATATTTGTTGGAATCATCCTTTGGCTTCAGATAACATCTCTTCTATAAACCACATTTGAGTTGGTAAAGAAACTCAACACATTATTGGAGAATTACAGTAGGACAGAAAGGTATTTATTAAGCCATTGATTGTGCATACCATATACTCCAGGGGTTGGCATACAGAGATGGTTGATAATGCATTAATAGACACAGAAACACTTTTTTTTTTTATAAACATGCAAAACGTATTTTCACTCTTCTGTCTTGAAATGACAACGGTCCTTATATATATATATATATAGATAGACTTCATGTATAGGTTTAATTTGTAGAACATAGGTTGATACAGAATTATAATTTTGCAAATGCGGGATGAGTTGTATAAATTGTCAGCAGAGGGCAGAGTTGTACAGTTCATAGAGCCTTTTTGCTTATAGGAGCTTTTCTCTTTTTCTTTTCACCCTTTAATCCACTAAGGGGCAGCTTTAAACCATGGATCATTGAAATCCTTAAAGTGACAGTCGAACAGTAATTTAAAGTGCCGTGTCCTAAGAAATTATTGACTCAAGAATGGAAATCTTAAACAGCTGAAGTGATCTAGGAGAATTTACTGACCTTACAATTTGAATCCTTAGGCCAAAACAAATTTTAGAGAGGTTAGGGGGGATATTAAGGATTTCTCTGGTTGAAGGTATGGAGGACTTGTGACAACAAAGTCCTGTGCGGTTTTGGAACAATTTGGCCATAAGTCAAAATTTCCTTTTGGGCATGTCAGAAAAATGTTAGTGCAACAGTTTGAACAAAATCTGTGTTTGGTTTGTTTTTTGCATTTTCTGTTTCAAAACGAAACATACAAGAATATAATGAAGCACTGCTCATTTAATTTGTTTTTTCTTTAATTCAATAAAAAAAAAAAAAAACTAATCAAAAAAACACTTAATTTTTCCTTATTTAAATAAAGTTGAATTAAAGGCATGCTTCATATTTTTTAGGGTACCATTTCAATTGTCCGAAGGTGGTGCATTATACTTTCAATCATGGTGAACATTTCATGTTTCTTAATTAGGATACAATGAGGTATCCAGACTTCAAAGTAAAAGCATACATGGAGTCTTGTAAAATATATAGCATGTTGCTTCTTTATATATTATTCTCAATGTACAGCCCTGAGAAAAACAGTCATAACAGAGTAATGTGCAGCTCCATAACAATGCAAAGCTTTGCTGATTTTAGAGGGTTTCCCACTCTTAAAGGTTCTGTAATGAATGAAAATTAAGGTTTGGGTGCAGCATCAGAGTGTCTGGAATATCAGCAGTTTTCCAGTTGAAGCATGAAAAAAGTGACAACTGTAGAAGCTGAAATGGAAAAGTACACCAATTTAAACATTTTATTACCCTAGATTTAAAAAAAAATTTTTAAACTCATAACTTGTTTAGTCTTCTAAACCCTAAAAAATGTTATTGCCTTTGCACTAATCAATTTTTGGAACAAAACCGCTATCACTATAAATTCCTACAACGACAATTTAATTTGTGTTGGATAGATAAAACAAAAATATAATGCAGTGGTTTTAAGTTATTTTAATATTACATTTTTTGTGTTAAAGTTTTAAAAACAGAAAAGCAGCACTGTTATACCTTCTTGTTTTGAAGCAGAAACAATGAATGAACCAGACATGTGTTGCACATTCACATCTTAACAGGTGTCTTTACAATTGTAAGACATAATACAAGTGAAAGGATGTCATTCTGGTATTCACTGGATGGTTTCTTTTGCAGGTATCCCACCTTCATTGATGCTCTCCGTGACATCGACGACGCCCTCTGCATGTGTTTCTTGTTCTCTACATTCGCCAGAACAGGAAAATGTCATGTGCAGACAATCCAGCTGTGCAGGCGCCTCACTGTGGAGTGGATGAACTATGTGATAGCATCCCGTGCGCTCAGAAAGGTTTGTAGTCTCTTGACGACAAATAAGGTCAAATGAGAGGTTGCGATTATATAACTATTCTAAACATTTTGTTTTTATCCCTCAGGTTTTCCTCTCTATCAAGGGAATTTATTACCAGGCTGAGGTTATGGGACAGCTCATTACATGGCTGGTGCCATATCAGTTCTCCCATGATGTAAGTGCAGCAGGGGTAATGATAATAAGCAGTTGCACTATTGTTGTGGGATTAAAATGAAGATTTGGTAAACCTTTGTGAGGTTCTGAGTCATTAATTTGTGGTGCTTTTATACTAGAACACTGCAATTAGTTTTGTCATGGCCTCAAGCTGTTCACCTGCTGCATTATATGCAATTATATTATTAGCTTCTCCTGTTTGGTTTTTCATGTTTATATAGACCGAATAAAGCTAATAAGCTTACAAATGTGCAAACTCAGCCTTACAATAGTTTGGTAGACCTGGTGCTTAGAATTAAGGTTTGGCGCTAAGCTATTGTTCTCAGTTAAACAATTTTTATGTTTTTAACTTAATGAAATTTAGTTGAATAGATTTGTGTTTCGGTTTGTTTGATTTGCTCCTAGGTTTTTATTAACCAGTCATAGGAACTATTTATTACAATCGTTTTAGATTTCCTTAAACCATGTTTCTCATTTAGGCATTGTTTGGAGAGCACTAAATTGCAAAATATGTGCAATTCTAATAAAAAATTGGAAAAAGGTATAGACCTTGTTTGCTGATTTTGGGCTTTTTTAAACATGGATTAAAATTAGGTGTGGAATGGTTATAGGCACTTTTTTTTTATGGTTAAAATGACACGCCTGTCATTTAAAGGTTTGCCCGTTTAGTTTGGTTCACTCCTGTCTAATAATCTGAGCGCCGTGGGGAAACCCAAAGCCCTGTGTGAGGACTTGAGGAAAATGACTTTTCAATCTACTGTAAGAGAAAATATTTCTGTGGAGGAAATCAACACCCATTATGCCAGTTTAAAAGAAGTCTATTGTGGTGAAGGGACCAATAGCAGGTTCTTGCTGGTTAGCATGGACGTGCGTGCCGATATAATCAGAATGAGACGGGACTTTCTGTACTAGTATGTTTATGTAGTCATTTTAGAAAAAAAAGAGAAATCCTAATAAAAACTGAATTTATTTTTAAAGTTTCCAGCTTGTCAAAGTGGAGTAAGGAACGTGTTTTGGTCAGAAACGGAATAACAAAATCTTTACGTTAGTATTTTATTTCAAAGCCCTTGTTCCTGTTGTACCCAGCTGTATATCTATAGATACAGCAGAAATGTATACGAGTGATTTATTATTATTATTTTTTTCTTTCAGCACCCAACAGATGTGGACTACAGAGTCATGGCAACCTTCACAGAGTTGTACACAACTCTCCTGGGCTTTGTCAACTTCAGACTCTACCAGTCTCTAAACTTGGTCTACCCTCCAAAGGTATGAAGATCTGCTCCTTTGTGTCCGGCTTCTAGTGAGCTTTTGCTCAGCAAACATTATCTCTTTGCTTTCAGCTGGATAGTAAAGCAGAACTGGATCTCAAGGAAGAGAATGAGGATGACTACGCCATGAATTCAGAGAGTTACCTTGAGGTGAGACCATCTTACACTCTAAAAAGGACCATCAATATTGCCTGTTTTTCTTGATGCGCCTCTAGATTTGGCTTCTCTACCTGTCAGCTTTGGATCACCTCTTCCTTAAGACCTAAAAGTGTAGCCTTCTTCACCTGATCTCCCATCCTTAGTCACTGTTCTCCTTTAATGTGGTCTCAAATTGATGTTTTCTAGCTTGCAAGACATTAGCATACATTCTGTTTACATGTTTGTTGTAGTAAACGGATGAAAGTATCAGAATATTTTCTTGTTATTGATAACCTTAGATTCTATAGAGTATTGATTAGTCAGATTTGCTATAGTTTTTTTTTTCTTGTAGTCTTATCTTAACATGTAATTTTTTTCTAAGTATTTCAGCTTCTTTCAACAGAAAAACATATTCATGTCATTGTATTGCCAAGTTTATTATTGATTTACTCGCACCTTAACTCAACTTTCTGCAGTTTTTGGTAGCAAACTTTTTCTCAGCACATTTATTGAGCACATCATTTGGTAAGAGGACATAAAATGGTTCTTGAATAGTACAGTTTCATAATTGAAGGTTTTTTCATTATTTCAGATTTTGAAGCACCAGTTCCTGTCTTGTTACTTTTACAGAAGTTTCTTTAATTTTAGTGTATTATGAAAGAATTAAACATTTCAAAATTTTCTTTCTGCAGAAACTTTCAGCTCTCAGTTCCAGCCTTGCACGTGTTGTTTCCTCAGAGGAGGAGGAGGAGGCTAAAGTTGATCAGTTTCCTGTTGAAGGGGTAAGAAGAGCAAGCCAAATGACATTTTGTTTATGTGACCTGTCCTCAACAAAAATGATTTAAGGGAAACATTAAGACACTTGTAAGCCAAGATGAATTAATTAATCTCAGGGGATAAAGGGTAAAAGGTGACATTTCTTCAGTGGAGGATTGACACCTCTAGTAGAAACACTGCCTAACTGGGGATTTGCAGCCTTTTCATAGGTTGCTATGAACAGGCTGTTCTCACCTGAGAAGCTTGTTTTGCCCAACTGAATTGAAATAACCAGTGGACTGCACTTCACCACTGGGACTTTCCATGAATTAGCTAAACCTTTTTTGGAAATGTTAAATGTTGCGTGTAGTTTAGCAGCCCAGGCTTAATTACTTATGGAGTCTCTGCTGTGCCTTTTTCAAGTAGCGCCATCTTTAAAGTGACAGAAGTGGATGCAAAAAAAAAAGGGCTTTGCAATATTATTGGGCTTTTAACTTTTCTGACATTGAAGCCAAACATATATGTAGTTTTATTTTTAATTGATAAGTTTTATAAGTTCTTTTCTTTGAGTGGACTGTCTTTTTAGCCTGGGTGCCAGTCCGAACGTAGTCCCTCGGAGTTCGGGGAAGTTCGGTCTGGCTCTGCTCCATAGTAGCGCGAGTATTATTGCCCACTGTCAGGCGATCCAATCAAATTGTCAGGGCGGGCTTTATACGATGATGGACAGATGATCAAGAGTAACGTAATCAACCACGTGACCAAAGCGCGCTTGGGTGACAACAATAATGGCTGCCGCTGGAGAGTTTGGGTGAGTAGATTCTGCTATTAGGTCTGTTCTAGAAGATATCGACAGCAAATTAATTTTAAAAGAGGAACAGAGAAACGCGATCAAGTCTCATCTTCTTATTCTAGGCGTGAAACTGCACGCTTTGATTTTTGTGGACAACAACTATGCCTCGCTTAACATACGTCACGCACTCCGTTGCTCTTATTGGTTGTAGATCTATCCAATTGAGTGCAGAGGCATTTTTTTCCTGGTTCGTTCGAAACACGCCCCATAATCACAGCTCTATGGAGCAGTATCAGACTCATATTCTGACTAGAATTGAGTAGGACTACGTCAGGCTACTGTCTTTTACCCAGGATATTAAGTAACAGACCTGGGATTCAACTGTTTTGATATATTGAAGGTCTTTTGTGTTACACTGTTTGTGTGTTGGTCTGGAGTATTTAAAAGAAAAGATATCAGTTCTCTATTACACACTGAGACCCATGTACTTATATAGACTTTATCATACTTTTTTATGTAAATTTAATAGATACACTTTAGTGGTTTACATTTTGTTCCCATGTAAGGGAGTGGGCAACATTATCTGCAATTTGCATGGCAGTATTATAAACTTAGCTCTGTATGTCCTTTTCAGGTTTGTAAATAATCCCTTTTAACTCTGAACACTGTTTTTCTTTTGACCTTAGGAGGACATGGAGACGATGGAAGCCAAAGAAAAGGAAGAGAAGCTGCTGGAAGCCCAGAAAAAGATCTTTGAGGGTCTCAAATTCTTCATCAACAGAGAAGTTCCCAGAGAGTCGCTGGCTTTTGTTATCAGGTGCTTTTACGGTTGCAGGATTTAAAAGCCACCAACCTGCTTTGTTAAATTTGTGTTTCCCATACTTAAAAAGATGTGGGGAAAAAATGTCTGATTTTTTAACCCATTTTTGTTTTTTCATGCTTCCAGGTGTTTTGGTGGCGAGGTGTCCTGGGACAAATCTGTTTGCATCGGAAGCACATTTGATGTCACAGATGAGACCATCACTCATCAGATTGTTGACAGACCTAATGTGGACAAACAGTACATGAACAGGTAAAGGAAACTTTCTTCATGGCTTCTAAGCTTTTTTTCCTACATTTAAATATCAGAGGCAGAATAAAACAGTTTGTGGTGTCATTCTTCACATTAGCCTCATCTGCATTTTCTTTTTGTTTACATTCTGCTCTTCCTAGATCTGTTCCTTACAGCTATTTCTGTATCCCCTGTGTTGTTGCTTTAGGTACTACATCCAGCCCCAGTGGGTGTATGACTGTGTCAATGCTAAAATACTCCTTCCTGTGGAGGACTATTTCCTTGGAGTCACTCTTCCACCTCATCTGTCTCCGTTTGTGGAGGAGAAGGAAGGCGACTATGTTCCTCCAGAGAAGCTCAAGATAATGGCCATACAGCGAGGAGAGAAAACTGGTACAGATCAGTCACATTTTTAAAAATAAGTGTATTGTTAAATGACAGTGATTACTACATGTTTAGACGTGTTTACCTTCAGTAGTTTTTAATTGCAAATCTGCTGTATTTTATCAGCAGATTAATTTCCCCCCCCCTTTCCGGATAAATATTGTGATCTCTGAAGCACTGATATGAATTTATTTCAGCTAAAAGGAACCAGAGCCATGAGTCTTGGTCATCTTTACCGCGCCTGATGAATTAATCTGTGTTTGCCTTTCTCTATCAGCCAATCCAGCTTTAATATCCGGAGTCACTTTTCAAATTTATCCAGAGATGTGCAGCAGGAATAACTACTGCGGGTTGTTAAAACACAGCATTAAAACTACATCATTTATTGAACTTTAGTCACCTGAAAAGATGCAGCTGAGCCTTGAACCAGAGTAATGGGAGGACTGAGCTCTGAATAATGAAAGATTGTCAGTGTCCTTTACACCACTTGGATGTTAAGGCAGAAATGGAAAAAAAAAAAAAAAAAACCTGTCCCAGCCAGCTGTCTAGCTAAAGACCAGTTTGTCATGCAGACTGGACCCAGGCCGTATGAGATGCTATCATAACATTGAGGTATCAAAGTTTACCTTCAGTTATCATACCAGTGGGTTCATTGTGCCATGGCTCAATGAACTCACTGGTATAAAAATGTGGCCAATATCCGGATTGTGCTTTTTAAAGTTTTTAAGGAAGGTGGTTTTTATTTATCTACACAAAGTCCTGTGGGTGCAAGATGCATATGAGACGTTTTAGTCAATTTTTGAGTCTTGCCACAGAACTGAAACTGCACTTCTTAGGGTTCAACCTTCATGATTAAATGCATGAAGAAATATCTTGGGAAATACTGCTGTCTGGAAGACAGTAGATGCTTGACAAGACAGATGTTTCTAACATAAAGCAAAAATTAACTTTTATATTGAATGAAATTAAACTCTCAGACATTTTGAAGCCCTGCTCCTTCATGAATTGTGTCCAACTTGGTAAAAGTAAAAACATCTCAATATGGCGCCCTCTTGTGTTGACCTACAAATTTGAATTTATGAGCTCCTAATTCAAAGCTATGAGAGCGCATTTATTTAGAATGGGAGGTTATCAGGCTTTGGAAGAACATTTTGCTATAAAAACAATGCTTGAGTTTTGCAAATTAAAAGCCAGATTGCACATTTTTTCCCTATTAAGTCAAAGCCAGTTAAATCCTACTTACCATAAGTCTTTGTCCATTTGGGACAGAAAGACGTCCTTTATAGCTTTACTTATACATGGGGTACCTCAAGGCTCCATATTGGGTCCCCTTTTATTCTCCTTGGGTAATCTCTGGGATTACAGTGCATCATGCAGATGATATTCAGGCTTACTTTTCTTCTAAATCCAGCAGATCCGAGTTAGTGGAGAGGCTGCTCAAAGGTTTGGATGTAGGATAATGACTGGAGCTCAGCTTTCTTTGTTTAAAAAAAAAAAAAAGGTTTTATCCAGTGGAAGTGACCCACTCACGGGATGCATCAGCACTGCTGATGCGCAGGACTGGTCTTGCTGTTCTGTATGCCTGTTGAGAATCTTTAGGTGATCCTTGACTCTAAATTTAAATTGAGGAAATGGGTCAGGGCAGTTGTTCAGTCAGGATTTCATCATCTAAAACATGTAGATGAATTCAAAGCTAAATGTTCTTGAGAGGATTATTCATATTTTTATTATTTCTAGACTGACTATTGGAGATTCCTCCATATTCAGCTGGCTGTCTGCTAGAGGCGAAACAGTGACCTAAAGACATTATTCCCTCCAGTGGCCGCCTGTTTCTTTAGGAACTGTTTTTAAGATTTCATTTTTAAATGTCAAAATGGTCTTTCACCTCTATCTCATAGTTTTTTTTTTTAGCCCATGTAGTCCCAGTAGATCTCCAAGATGATGCATTAGGTCAACCCTTTTTTCTACTTTGCTTTTTATAGCTTAGTTTTGTCTCATACTTTCAAGGTTTCTATATATACAGCCGGAAAATACTCCTGTCACTCTGGCTATCTTCATTATGAACTATAGGAGACAAGACTAGAAATTTCAGTTTTCCGTTTACTTTTAGATACAAAGATGAGACACAGCTTCATTTGGGACAAAAAGCCCAGTAAAAATGCCCCATATATATATATATATATATATATATATATATATATATATA